GGGGCGCACTGCGCAGGCGCGGGGCGGGGTCCTACCTGGGAAGGAGCAGAGGGAGGTGGAGTTGGGGCACAGGGTCCCGTTGCCCACCCGCGGCACCACCTTCAGGCTGAGGATCTGCTGTAGGAGCCCGGCCGAGCCCCCGCTGCCGCCGCTCCCCTCGCGCTCCATCCCGCCGCCATCCACCGCAGAGAAAGGGGCGGAGGGAGTGCCCGAAAGTGCAGACGCCGAGCTCCGCTCACCGTACCTCCCGCCGCCTCGGCGTCACCTGCGGCCACAGCCCTCTTCTTCCTCCCACCAGCCCCAACGGCGCTGCCAAGTGATGGTTCTTTCCTCCAATCACAGGGCGCCTCAGTTGGCTGGGGCGGGGCGACTGTTTCTCCCGCCCCCTGACGTTGCGTAAGCCTGGCAATACCCAGCCCCGTACCTCTCAGGCTACGCCCCCTACTGGACGAGTCTCCCTGCTTTATGTGGCGGGCGCTTGCGCTCCGCCGTGCCCGTCTCAGTAGCGCCCCCTAAGAGAAAGTGAAGGAATTGCACATGCCAGTTCAGACCAGCGATGTAGATCCAATACAAAGCAAGGATCATGACCAATTTGTAACCCCATCATTTATAATGTTGCATAGCCCAGCCTTCACGAGTTAGACACGTGAACCCAGTTTTCCAGAACTAACTACCCTCAAGCTCACAGACCCCAATAAAGTCTTGAGATTTTTTTTGGGGGGGGGTCCAGTCGTGGGGCCTGAACTCTGGGCCTGGGCACTGTCCCTTGGCTATTCAGCTCAAGGCTAGCGCTCTACCACTTGAGCCACAGCGCCACTTTCGGCTTTTTTTCTTTTTGCTTATGTGGTGCTGAGGAATCGAACCCAGGGCCTCATGCATGCAAGGCAAGTGCTCTACCATTAAGCCACCTTCCCAGCCCAGGTCTTGAGATTTTTGTCATTCCTGGGCCTGAGCTGCTTCACTCAAGGCTAGCACTACCACTTGAGCAACAGCGCCACTTCCGTTTTTTTCTGTTTATATGGTACTGAAGAATCGATCCGAGGGTTTCATGTATGGTTGAGCTCTTGAGACCTCCAGATCATGGCTCCTTCGTGAGCCTACACATTCCCCTGTCTGGAGAGGGCACTTTTGCTTTCATTTTGCTTTATATAACTAAACCCAATTCTGCTTTCGGTATCTTCTGTATCCATTCTTGAATTCTCTCTGACAATCAAAAGCTTTCTGGTTTCCAGATCGGGTGACCCAAATCCCGTAACAGTTAGGAAGTCAAATTCTTTACAACAGAATGAACAGGATTGCTTCTCCAAATTGGGGGGAGGGGGAGGGCAACACAAACTCTTGAAAAATCACAAAACACGTAGAAAGCAAACTAAAAATGAAGTGATGGGGGGTGTTTGTTTTTTGCACTGATAGAGAGGCTTGAACCCAGGGCCTGGGTATGATCCTTTAGCATTTTCCCCTCAAGGCTAATAGTGGCCTTTTCCTGGTTCATTGGAAGTAAGTTTCATGGACTTTCCTGACTGGGCTGGCTCCAAATATTGACCCTCAGATCTCAGCCCTCTGAGTAGCTAGGATTGCAGGCATTGGCCACAGACAGGTGTTTGATTTATAATTTTTTTTTATTTTATTGGGCACTGTCCCTGCTCAAGGTTATTGCCTACCACTTTGAGCCACAGCTCCACTTCTGGTTTTCTAGCAATTAACTGGAGATAAGTCTAAGTGACTTTCCTGCCTAGCCTGGCTTTGAACCAAGACTCTCAGATCTCAGCCTCCTGAGTAGCTAGGATTACAGTCAGGTGTGAGCCACCAGTGCCTGGCAAGTTTTATACTTTAAATAAACAACCTCTCATTTATTTCACTGACAGTGAGATGAAGAACTATAAAACTTTTAGAAGGCAATGTAGAATATTTTATCTTCTCAGCATAGTAAACTTTTTTAAAACTTTAAAATTATTGTAAAGATGGGGCTGGGAAGGTGGCTCAGTGGTAGAGCGCCTGCTTTGCAATGTATGGGGCCCTGGGTTCGATTCCCCAGCACCACATAAGCAAAAAAAAAAAAAAGCCAGAAGTGGCGCTGTGGCTCAAGTGGAGAGTGCTAGCCTTGAGCTGAAGAGCTGAGGGACAGCACCCAGGCCCAGAGTTCAGGCCCCACAACCGGACCCCAAAAAAAAATTATTGTAAAGATGATGTACAGAGGTGTTAGCTACGTAAGCCAGGTAATGAGTACAGTTCTTTTTGGACAATGTCACTCCTTCCCCCTGCAAAAACAGTTGTTAAATTAGATACCATCTGCTGGGCACTGAGGGATTACACCTGTAATTCTAGCTATTTGGGAGGCTGAGATTAGGAGGTTTGAGGTTAGCCTAAGTAGAAAAGTCTGTGAAACGCCATCTCAGTGGAAGAAGCTGAGCATGGTAGCACATACCTGTTGTCCAAGCTATTGTAGGAAGTGAAAAATAGGGGAATCCCAGTCCAGGCGAGTGGCTAGGCAAGCAAGAACTTGTCATAAAAACCGAGGGCATTATAAAGATCGGGTGTGGGGAGGAGTAGGGAAGTAAAGTAATAGCAGTGTGCACTTAGTAAGCATTAGACCCTGAATTAAAATCCCAGTAGAAACCAAGGGTCGGTGACTCACATTTGTGAGGAGAAAAAAATGCATTGGGAGAAGGTGGTGCCTAAACCTAATTTAGAAAGTAGCCCAGTTGGTTTTGGCATATGAGTGGTGAAGAAATGGTCCAGCTGATCCAACCCAGGAGACTAGATCCACAGGCAAGAAAGATCCCCGTCCAGATTGAATGTAAGGAACAGGATCTGTCAGAAGAGGGCGCCGAGACCTCAGAGTGGGAATACTGATTCCTGTAGCTCCTGCAAATGTGAAATACTCAATTGTTGGAAGCGGGCCTTGAAGACCATTTCCATACAAGACAAAGTCATCAGAACAAAAAAAGAAGAAAAAAAAAAGGCAGAAGCCATAAGGGAAAAATTCACATTTAATAATAGAATTGTGGTGAAACTTACTGAAATTTGATAGTTGTGTGATTTGATGTCATACATACACATATCTAATCAAAATTTCCACTTTAAAAATGCTTAGAGGGGCTGGGATGTAGCTCAGTGGCAAACTGCTTGCCTGGCAAGTGCAATGTCTTGGGTTCGATCCCCAGTATCAAAAAAGAAAAGCCAAAAAAACCAAACAAAACATGTTTAGAAGTGGGCACTAAGTGGCTCAGGTCTGTAATCCTAGTTACTCAGGAGGCTGACATCTGAGGATTGTGGTTCAAAACCAGCCTGGGCAGGAAAGTCTGTGAGACTCTTTATTTCCAATTAATCACCAGAAAACGGAAGTGGCACTGACTGTGGCTCAAGTGGTAGAACGCTAACTTGAGCTGAAAAAGGACAGCGCCCAGGCCCAGAGTTCAAGCCCCACAACTGACAAAGAAAAAAAAAAGTTTAGAGCTGGGTGGGGCAAAGTGGCTCAAGCCTGTAATCCTAGCTACTCAGGAGGCTGAGGTGTGAGGATCATGATTCTCCTCTTTGTACTGATTCAAAGTCAGGCTGAGCAGGAAAGTACATGAGGCTCTAATCTCCAGTGAACCACAGGGAGCCCAAAATGGAGATGTACCTCACATGGCACAATCCTTGAGCTAAAAAGCCAAGAGACAATGCCCAGGCCCTGAGTTCAGGAACTCAGTACTGGAACACACAAAAAATGTGTAGATATTATAATGTCAATTACATTTCAATAAAGCTGTATTATAGGCTTGAGATAGAGCTCAAGAAGTAGAAGACTTAGCAAGGTGGGAGGTCCCAAATTCAAAACCCCAGAACTGCAACTTAAGAAGGAGAAGCAAAAGCCAGTAAAGCTTTCTTTTAGACAATTCTAAACTCCCATCAGCCCAGAGATGGCACCAAGAGAGTCTGTAAACACGTCTTACCCAGTTGGTTTTTCCGCTTGTAAGTTTGTCTTTCACACAGGTCCCTGTCATTGGAAGCCCACAACCACTTTCCTTCAGCCTATTTCTCTGTAAATTTATTGTCCTTTTATTTTTGGTCGGTCATGGGGCTTGAACTCTGGTCCTGGGCACTGTGCCTTATCTCTTTAGCTGAAGGCAACTGCTCTATCCCTTGAGCCACAGCACCACTTCTGGTTTTGTGGTGGTTAATTGGAGATAAGAGTCTCACACTTTTCCTGCCTGCGATGGTTTTGAACCACAATCCTCAGATCTCAGCCTCCTGAGTAGCTAGGATTACAGGCGTGAGCCACCAGTGCCTGGCTGTTATTGTCCTTTTTAGAGATGCTATGTAAACCAAGTTCCAAGCTGCTGCTTTGAGTTCTTTTCCTGTGTGACTTATTACTGCATGAATTAATAATCTGCCTTCTCCTCTGAGCCATACCTTTGGCCTACTTTCTGCTGATTATTTATTTTTATAGGTCCTGGGGCTTGAGCTCAAGGCCTGGCTGCTGTCCCTGAGTCTCTTTGGGCTCAAGGCTAGTGCTCTATCACTTGAGCCACAGCGCCACTCTTGGCTTTTTCTGGGTAGATTATTAGAGATAGGTCTCCAGACATTTTCTGCTCCTGGCTGGCTTCAAACTGTGATCCTCAGATCTCAGCCTTCTGAGTAGCTAGGTTTACAGGCATGAGCCCGGCTTCTGATGGTAATTTTTTTTTTGTTTGTTTTTTGCCAGTCCTGGAGCTTGAACTCAGGGCCTGGGCCTGAGCCTCTCTGTGCTCAAAGCTAGCACTCTACCACTCTACCACAGCACCACTTCTAGTTTTTTCTGTTTAGGTGGAACTGAGGAATTGAACCCAGTGCATGCTAGGCAAGCACTCTACCACTGAGCCACATTCCAAGCCCTGATGATAATTTTTAAAATAGGCTCACCCAAGGCAGGAAGAGACCAGACAGGGCTCATCCTGGAATGTTCTATGTGCAGACAGCAAAGCAGGCCTCAGGCATTCCAGTTCTGGCACCTTGGTAATCACAGAACAGATGATTCATGGAGCAATGCAAGGGCAGTACACAGGCCATTAACTGTGGTCATCAATAGGTATGAGACCTGGGGGGGTGTCGCTGTCAGGTGAGGCTCTTCTGGATCACAATCACCTTGTTCTAAGCCTTTCGCATCATGAATATCTTGCTCCTCTCTCCCTCTCTCTCTCTCTTTCTTTTCTTCTTGCCAGTCCTAGGGTTTGAACTCAGGGCCTAGGCACTGTCCCTGAGCCTCTCTGTGCTCAAAGCTGGTGCTCTACCACTTGAGCCACAGTGCCACTCCTGGCCTTTTCTGAGTGCTTTATTGGAGATAAGAGTCTCACGGAATTCTCTGCCTGGGCTGGCTTCAAACCACAATCCTTAGATCTCAGCCTTCAGAGTAGTCATAATTACATGCGTGAGCCACCAGCATCTGCTTTTTCTTTTATTAGGGCTTGAATTCAGGGTCTGGGCACTGTTCCTTAGTGGTTGTCCATCCTCTCCCCCCCCCCCCCCCCAGCTTGGGCAGGAAAGTCTATCCTTGAAACTCTTATCTCCACTAAACTACAAAAAAAGGAGAAGTGGCACTGTGGCTCAAGTGATAGAGCTCTAGTCTTGAGCAAAAGCAGCTCAGGGGTGCGCGCGCACACGCGCACACACACACACACACACACACACACTCTCTCTCTCTCTGTAGGGAACATGAATGACCTGGCCAGAGGCATTAGCTCCAGGTTCATATATATTGCCAAGTAAAGAAGCACAAAATTCTAGATACTCTTTTTTGTTGTCAGTTATGGGGCTTGAACTCTGGGCCTGAGCGCTGTCCCTCAGCTCTTGAGCTCAAGGCAAGTGCTCTACCACTTGAACCACAGCGCCACTTCTTGCTTCCTGGTGGTTAACTGGAAATATGAATCTCATGGACTTTCCTGCCTGGGATGGCTTTGAACTGCAATCCTCAGATCTCAGCCTTCTAGGTAGCTAGGATTACAGGTATGAGCCACCAGCACCCAACTCTAGATACTATTTTCCCTACCAACCCAAAGCCATCTGTGTGCTGAGAATCAGAAGCTAGAAACCACCAGAATTCCTTCTGGCAACTGATGGTGACAATGATGTGGCAAACTTCGAGTCCCCATGTAATCTGGAGTGTTCCACGTGGATTCACAGATGTGAATCCTTGTCCTTCCCGGAGGTTCCGTGAACTTTATTTTCCTCTTAAACATTTATTGGGCATTTATTGGTTCTTGTTTCCTGAGCTCAGGACTAAAATCCTTGTGCAGGTAGGCAAGGCATTGTGCCCTCGAGTCACACCTCCAGCCCTTCTGGCACTTTAGTTATTTTTTCAGGGAGGGTCTTCATTTGCTGCTCAGGACCAGCCTCAGATCAAGACTCTCCTACCTATACTTCCCTTAAAGTAGGAGCTACAGGCATGTGACACCACATGTGGTCCAAATTCCCTTTAATCAACCCAGAGCTAGGTGTTTGTGGCTCACAAGCAGAAAATTTTGCTGGGAAGGACAAAGTGAAGGCAGAAGCCCCTCTCAGAGTCCTTTTTTCTTCCGCGTTCCTGGCCAGATTGATTCGTTACATTTACCCTATGACCTACCCCATATACCTTCCAGGCACGGGAGCCTGTACCAACCTCAGGAGCTCTGTTACCCACTTCACCCGGCTTGCTGCCAGGCCCCCACTGTGCTTCCTCCTCACTGCCACCTGCCAGGCTTACACACGTTGCTTTCCAGATTCTATACTCTCAGCCCCGAATTGACCATCTCCAACAGGGCACAGCTGTGTTTCGAGCCCTACTCTTCCCTAAACCAAATAAAAAAGGGGGAAAAGTCCACCTTTCTGCTCGGGAGCGGGTCTTGGCAAGCTTCATTCATCTTCTTCTTCGCCTGCAACGCTGAGAGCAAAATTTCCCTTCACCCTTCACGATTCTTCTCTCCTCATGACCTTGGCCATGTCCCTTTACTTCTGAAAAGATTTCGTCTAAACTGGCCAGGCACAGATGGCTCATACTTGGAATCCTAGAGAATCAGAAGGCTGAGATCTGAGGATCACAGTTCAAACCCATACTGGGTAGGAAAGTCCAATCAACCAGCAAAAAGCTGGAAGTGGAGTTGTAGCTCAAGTGGTAGAGTGCCAGCCCCAGCCATGAGCAGAAAATAAGCTTAAGGGGATAGTGCAAAATCTAATATGCATCACACAAATTAAGGATGACGTTTATTTCCACAAGTAGGATCTTTCCCATCCAGACAAATCAAAGGCACATCAAAGGTTCATTATACCTGGGCAGGGTGATGGGGTGTGGAGGGGTCACTAGAAGGTAGGGCAGAGAAAGGCTAAGGGGAGACCACAGACAGACGTCGCCTCTGCTCTCTCACTGAAGATGGGATGAGACTGCCCACGACTTTGATGGAGTCTGGCGACCCAGGCGTGAAGAGAATGGGTGTGTGAGTGTTCCCCATGCCCAGCCAGGAATGGCATACCATTCTCAGCTACTGTGTTGTACATCCAAGGAAGGAGAGAGTTAAGTGGAAAGTGCTTGAGGGGAGCCCGTGCCTGCTGTACCCCCAGAGAAAGGGCGGGGAGCGGAAGAGTTTCTCCTTCCATGAAGATTGAGCTTGATGGGACACCAGCTCCTAAAGAAGACTCAAAGGAACAGCGTGAGGCGGGGGGCCATGTCCGGAATCCTCCTCAGCACCCCCCCTCGCCCCCTCTGACCCTGTTTGCTGTCAGGCTGGCGCTATACTACTTGAGTCACACCTCTTGCCCCTTCATCCTAGCTACTCAGGAGGCTGAGACCTCAATGTTGCGACTTGAAACCTGACAAATCTGCGAGAGACACATTTCCAATTAACCAGCAAAAACTTAAGAGGTGGAGGAGATGTGACTCCAGTGGTAGAGTGCCAGCTTTGGCAAGAAAAATGAAGACGACGAGGGAGGACAGGAGGCCTTGAGTTGAAGTCTCAGTAGCCCCCCCATCCCCCCCACAAGAAAGAATGGGAGAAAAAAAGAAAGGGAAGGAAGGAGAGAGGGGAGGGAGGGAGGGAGGGAGGGAGAGAGGGAGGGGAAGGAAGGAAGGAAGGAGAAAGAAAATTAATCCAGGGAGGGGGCAGAAAGGGGAATGGGGGGCTCCCAATCGTGGTGGCTGGCGCCAGCCCCTCTGCTCACCGGGTCCCCTGGGTTCCCGGCTGAGGTCCCTGGAGGCTAAGGCCCGCGCTGCGGCTCGGTGGCCGACGCCCACCGGAAGCTGCCCGGGCCGCGCGGCAGCACCAGGTCCAGGGCGAGGTCGCGCTGCTCGCGCTCGGAGAAGACGGGCCGGTAGCCGAGCGCCTGCAGCGCGCCTGCGCACAGCTCCTGCACGCGGCGGATCTTGGCGAAGGGCAGCTCGTGGCGCCAGGCCTGCGAGACGTTGCGCGCGTCCCTGGAGGTGGTCTTGAAGGCCTCGCGGCGCGCGCCGGGGCCCGAGCCGTGCGTGATGTTGTGGATCCAGGCCTGCAGCTCGGGCGTGAGGCTCAGGCCGGCGAAGGCGTAGAGCGCGCGGATCTCGGTCAGGGGGTCCCGCGCCAGGTCCTCGAAGCGCACCAGCAGGTAGCGGCCGCGCAGGAAGGGCGGCGGCTTGCGCAGCGCGGCGTCGGCGATGCGCACGTGGCTGCGGCACACCTCGGTCACCACGCGCAGGCGCGGGTCGGCCTCCACCCACGTGCCGTTGGTGCCCAGCACGATGCCGTTGTCGCGGGCCAGCGCCTTG